AATTAATATTTGACAAAGGAGGCAAGAACATACAATGGAGTCAAGGCAGTCTCTTCAATAAATGGAGCTGGGAAATTTGGCCAGACACATGCAAAAAAAAAAAATGAAACTAGACCACCAACTTAAACCATGCACAAAAATAAACTCAAAATGGATAAAGGACTTAAACATAAGACAGGAAACCATAAAAATATTATAGGAATCCACAGGCAACAAAATTTCAGATATATGCCAAAGCAATATCTTCACTGATACAGCTCCTAGGGCATTGGAAACTAAAGAGAAAATAAATAAATGGGACTACATCCATATTTGCCAATGATATCCTGATAAGGGTTTAATCTCCAACATTTATAGAGAACTCACACAACTTAACAAAAGGAAGACAAACAACCCAAATAAAGTCCAATTTGTAAAAAAAATTTTAAATTTTTTAAAAATTGTTTTAAGTATAACTTATACAATTTCGAACAGGATTCCTTTTGTGTCCTGAATTGTATTGGTGTTGGCTGCATTACCAAACCCACTAACTGGGCATTTTTATTAACAACTGGAAAATGCTTATTTTTCCAGGGAATTTAAAGGAGAAGTCATTGGAAACAATACATGTACTTTTTCCTAACTGATGGTTAGAATCTAGAAATGGAACAAAGTGAATAATTTCCAAGAGAAGGGTGGTAAGCTGATAAAGTGTTATTACTAACTTCAAGTTAATCATCAGACTCCTGTAACTTAGATTCCTTATCTCCAAGGTGGTGATTAGCTTGAAATCACCACCTTGGAGGTAAGGAATCTGAGAATAAACATCTCACAGATCATTATAACACTGAGCTCATCTCTCCCTTTCTTTTTAAGATGAATACATTTAGCTTGAGGAGAAGAGTGGGTAAAATTGATAAAGTTACACTGTGATGTTTCCATTCCAACAGAGAAAAGCTGTATTGATTTAAACAGCAATATTTGCAAATTAGTGGAAATGTCATTCTCATGAATGAGTCTTAGAGTTGGGAGAGGCTGGAGGCTTGGTGGAGCCTCTCTGTTCCCGCCACAGATTAGCTGTCTTCTCTTCTTTCCAGAGCTGTTATTTTACCTGGAAGGTACCCTTTTCAGGAGTGATTGAGCTCACTTCCCACCCTTACTACAAGGGCACTGTCCAACCCCACGCTTTTGTCTTCATTACCTCTGAGAATGTCCCACTTGGCCACTCTCTTAAATTTTGTTGCCACAGGAATAAAGGGAGGGGCCTCTGAACACCCCCATTCTCTTTTAATATAAAGACAAGGTAGAAAAGCAGCGTGTGTGTGATTGCTAAGTCATTCCCAGGGTTTGTTGTTACCCTGGGGGTTTGTTTCTTGTCCTTTGGCATGGGAACTCTTTGCTTCTCTGTTTCCCTAACATGCTTTTTTCAAGTTACTTAGAGGGAAAAAATATATTGATTAGTACATTATTCAAGAGATCAATAAGCCTTATGAACTATTGTCAGGCTAAATTAATGATTAAATTCTTTTTAAAAATATTTTTATTGATTTCAGAGAATGGAGAGGGAGAGAGAGCTAGAAACATCAACGATGAGAGAGAATCATTGATTGGCTGCCTCCTGCAAACCCCACACCGGAGATGAGCCTGAAACCTGAGCATATGCCCCAACTGGCAATCGAACCTTGACCTCCTGGTTCATAGGTCAGCACTCAACCATTGAGCCACACTCAGCAGGCAATGATTAAATTCTCACTCACTTGCCCAAATGGAGAATGGAAGTCTTATCACTGAAAATACCCTGAGAAGTTTGGACAACACAATCTTTGTTAAATTTCAGATTGTATTATTGAGGTGTGCTTCTAAATTGATCTTGTCACATTTACTTTCAATCTGATAAATCTGTATTAGAATATTTATTGCCAGATATTTTCCCTTTTCTCTACAATATGGCTAGGTCTTCCTCGAAATCACTCTTTAGTCAAATTTTACTAAGCCATTAGGATAATTTAAAATTTTACAATAATGGACAACTTGTATTGTATTGCTAATGTATAATTTTAAATTTAGATGAAATTCTTTACATTTGGCAATTTTGTTGTGATATTGTAAAGTTATGATTTCTGAATTATTTAAAAAACATGTTTTTGTCAACTATTTGATGATAAGAACTATATGAATAAGGAACTATCTAGGTTTTAGATACCATAAGAGGTTTTCTTGATATTTGCTTTCATTTCCTATTCTTCCATTCAACTGTTCTATGACTTCACATAAATTAATCACACCTCTGTGGTAGTTTCTTCCCGTGTAAACTGGGAATGACACTTTCTCTCTGCTCCCTAGAGATAAGTAGATCTGTGGCTTAGGGTTTTAAAACTTTTGGATTCTGTGACTCAGAGCTGCAGTGTCACTTCTAATATGTGTTACTACATTTTCCAGTTAGTAAGCATTTCCACAAATCAGATTAAAAATGCATGGTAAAGACCTTGACTATTAAAATACTTACAAGGTTAATATTAGATAGTTCCAATCACATGTACAAAGTTTAAAGGAAAGCTGTTATGTTTCATGTTATTAATTCCATTTACAAGCTCCGATTGAATATTATTTTCTCCGCGATGTCATATCAGCCAGGAAGCAGTCACCCTGTCTCTATAACTCTCTAAAGACTTTCACATGTAACTGTTATGGTTCTTCCCACAGAACTTTGTGTATGTGGAGTGTTTTCCATGTCTGGTCTCCTCTCTGCTTCCTGATGCCAGGAGCATGTATTTTTTTGCCTTTGATTTTTCTAGTAAGGCTGTTATTGACATGATCAAAGACTATTGGCAGATCTGGGCTTACTGTGGCCACTTCTGTAAATTGGGAGCAAAATAATGTTAAACTCTAGGTGTTTCAAGGAGTATACAAGGTAAAACTACTGCACGTGCTAAGAATTACATAATATTCATTGGTTTTCCCCTCTGTGCCTCCACATTTTCATCTAGTACTCAGTTAGAATAAAGTTGCTCAATTTGAGTAAAATAAATGTTGAATGACATTTTGCATTGGCAGCTTAGTTGTAAGGATACTGACTGGTCTGACCTGACTCCGAACACCTCTTGCTAATTTTGTGATCTTGAACAGTTTCTTTAACTTCTCCAAATCAGAGGATGATAAATTGTGGCCCATGGACCAAATCCAGTCCACTGCTGGTTTTCGTATGGTTCGTGAGATAAGAATCGTTTTTACATTTTTAAAAATTGAAAAAAGTAAAAAAGAATAATATTTCATGACATAAAATTATATTAAATTCATAGTTTAGTATGCATAAAGAAAGTGTTAATAGAATACAGTTATGCTTATTCATTTATGTATTATCTATGGCTGCTTTCATGCTACAGTAGTTTAACTATATGGTTCATGAAGCCTAAAATATTTACTGTCTGACTCTTTGCAGAGAAAGTTTGCCTATTCTTGTTCTAAACCTCAATTTCCTCTTCTGTACAATAGGACAAATAGTACCTATTTCAGGGAGGTTTGAGATAATGTGTGAAAAATTCTTTGTACAGGGTCAATGATATTAAATACTCAGTAAATGTTAGCCATTGATGTTATTATAATATTTATAGTTTTTAATCATCTCATAATTTGTTTAGTGAAGGTGGATCAAAAATTCTCTCCCATTATACTCACTAAAATTGATTATTTTATATTATAATTACTTAAATTTTTAATTAAATTTTTATATTTTTATTAATTATTTAATTTTGTTACATTTCTATTAGAATATTTTGGTATTTCTGATGTTCAAAGACCTACCCAACATACCCTCAACCAACTTTGCCATTTAATTTTCAGTTACTTTCCTTTATCTGACTATCTCTAGCTCAGCTGTACATCCAATGACCTTTTCCCACTTTTCCACTTCTGTATCCCCTTCATCTTCCATTTCCACATGCCAGATCTAATCCATCTTCCAAATCTGGTACCAGCATCACTCCCTTCACAGAATTCCTTTATTATTTGTATGTACACTATGCCACACAATCTCCCTTCCCCAACAACAGCAACAAAAACAAACACAAAAGAATTTGGGAGGAAATTCATTCTCCAGGACCTATGTGAGCATTTTATTTCTACATAGTAGAGCACACATCACTTTCTTGCTTGTGTTTTAATTATGCATATACTTCTTATCTGGACTCTTTCAGGAAAATACTATTGTTATTGATCTGTGTAGTCAGTACAATACCCCAGATGTGTTTGCACATTGAAGTACCTAACGTGTTTTTTTAAATGCATAAATTTTTCTTTCCTTCTGACTTTTGGATTTTTGGCTCTTTTCAGACAGAATTCCTTGATATAAGCCAGCTGTCTTTCATTCATGATTTGGGACCAAAGGGCATGTAAGTTCCTGTGTTGGATCTTTAAAGAGAAGTATGAATATTGATGAGTATTATTAACATTTGATTTATCGGCATGCCAGGATGATGGAACTCATCTGGTTTTACTGGTAGCTTCTCCCCATCAGAGGCAGAGCAACTGAGGGGATCTATTTAGGCAAAACGGAATATCTTGTTACATTAAACAAAGGTAGCAATTGCTCTACCCTCTTTCTTATGTGCTTATAGCACCAATTTTCTATAATCCCACAGTTGCCCTGTTTAATACAGGTAACAAATATGATGTGGGAGAATGTATTAAAAATCAAACATACTATATTATATATTTGAAAATCTCTAAGACAGTAGATCTTAAATGTTATCATCATAAGAAAATAATTATAACTGTGAAACAATAGATGCTAGCTAGACTTATTGTGGTGAACAATCACTTTACATTATATACAAATATCAAATCACTGTACTGTATACCTAAAACTAATATACTGTCAATAATGTCTCAATATAATGTTATATGTGAATATCTCAATTTTTAAAAAATCAAATATACAAGATTCCCTTCTTCTAATCCTATCTAATAATAGACAAAGATTTAAATTGACCGTACCTCCACTACACTTCCCATTGGCTAATCAGCGAGATATGCAAATTAACTGCCAACAAAGATGGCAGTTAATTTGCATACATAGGCGCGAAGCGGCAGAGTGAAGACTGAAGGTGGCTCCAGCTGTCGGAGCTGCGAGAGGCTTGAAGGCGCCTTCGGCCGCCAGAGCCGTGAGAGGCTTGAAGGCGCCTCCAGCCAGAGCAAAGGCCTGGGTCCCGGGTGCCAGAGGAAAACCAGTGCCGGCAGCCAGGGTAAGGGAAGGCCTATTACATGAATCTTTTCATGCAACAGGCCTCTGGTCACTTATAAAAGTTAGCTGCTTATCACTCATTTTCATGACTAAAAATAATACTGTGTAAACGGTATGTTATGTAACAAGACTGAAATTTACTTAATTATTCTTTTCCTTCACAATATGGGAGCTTGGTATGATAAAGAGCTGAACTTTTTTAAGTGAAGATCATTGTTAGTGGAGTGCTGTAAGGATGAGCTGCTAGGACTCATCCTAGCAGATAGGGTTTGAGCTGTCTGAAGTGGGAGAGAACAGGCAGGAAAGTCGAGAGAATGAAACAGTTTATTTAGTCCCAAGTTGCAAGGTTGTCTCAGCTAAGAGTGAGCTGGAAATTTGAAGATGATGGGTTACCTTGATGTCTCTTTCAGAGAAGGCATGATAATGAAAAGATCCGGAGGACACAGGATACCTGGCTTGAATTGCTGTGGTCAGGGAAGAGCCTGCTACCGGTGGTCAAGAAGGTAGGACTTAGGAGTTTTGTGTATATTTTTTTTAATAAACTGGATATTTGGGGAATTTTTACATACTAGTTTTAAATTAAATTATAAATCAGTTATAAATCCTTTGAAAGTCATAACAGAGAAAATTTTAAGTTCCAAGTTTCAATATTTCCTAATATCAAACTATACTATAAGGCCATAATAATCAAAACAGCATGGTACTGGCATATAATCATACGTATAGATCAATGGAACAGAATAAAGAGCCCAGAAATAAATCCACACCTTTATGGTCAATTAATATTCTACAAAGGAGGCAAAAAATATACAATGGGGTAAAGATAGACTATACATTCAATAAATGGTGATGGGAAAATTGTACAGATATGTACAAAAAAAAATAAAACTAGATCACCATCACCTTCTTACACCATACACAAGAATAAACTCAAAATGAGTTAAAGACTTAAATATAAGACTCAAAACCATACAAATCCTAAAAGAAAATATAGGCAGTAAAATCTTGGACAAATATTTCTTGTAGCAATATTTTTTCTGATATGTCTCCTCAGGCAAGAAAAAAATAAACAAATAAACAAAAGAAAAAATAAACAAATGGGACTACATCAAACTGAAAAGTGTTTGCACAGCAAAGGAAACAATTAACAAAATGAAAAAAAAAAAACACCACTGAATGGGAGAACATATTCTCCAATGATACATTTGATAAGGAGTTAATATCCAAAATTTGTAACGAACTTATAAAACTGAACACTAAAAAAAAAAAATCCAATTTAAAAAATGAGCAAAGAACCTGAATAGACACTACTCCAAAGAGGACACACAGATGGCCACTAGACATATGAAAAGATGCTCAACACCACTAATCATGATAGAAATGCAAATTAAAACCATGAGATATCACTTCAGATCTGTCAGAATGTTTACCATCAATAAATCAACAAACAACAAGTGTTGGTGAGCATGCAGAGAAAAGGGAACCCCCATGCACTCTTGGTGGGAATGCAGATTGGTACAGTCACTGTGGAAAACACTATGGAGTTACCTCAAAAAAATTAAAAATGGAACTGCCGTTTGACCCAGACATTCCATTTCTGGGAATATATCCAAAGAAACTCAACACACTAATTCGAAAGAACCACCACGTTCATTGCAGCATTATTTACAATTGCCAAGCTCTGGAAATAGCCCAAGTGCCACCAGTAGATGAGTGGTTAAAAAAGCTGTGGCACATTTACACAATAGAATACTACACAGCTATAAAAATAGAAGGAAATCTTACCTTTTGCAACAGCATTGATGGACCTCGGGAGTATTATGCTAAATGAAACAAGCCAGTCAGAGAAAGACAAATACCATCTGATTTCACTTACATGTGGAATCCAATGAACAAAATAAACAAACTAACTAAATAGAAACAGATTCATGGATACAGAGAACAAATTGACAGTTGTTAGAGGGGTAAGGGCTTGGGGGGGTGCTGGATAAAAAAGGTAAAGGGAGTAAGCAAAAAAAAAAAAACAAAAACAAAAAAAAAACAACCCAAAATTCATAGACACAGATAATAGTGTGGTGATTACCAGAGGGAAAGGAGTATAGTGGGAGATGGAAGAGGGTAAATGGTGGATAAATGGTGATGGAAGAAGATTTGACTTTGGGTGGTAAACACACATTATAATATACAGTTGATGTATTATAGATTTGTACACCTGAAACCTATATAATTTTATTAACCAATGTTACCCCAATAAATTCACTTAAAAATATGGCCAATATCAAGTGTTAACAAAGATGGAGAAAAATTAGAACCTTCAGACATCGCTGGTGGAAATGTAAAATGGTTCAGCCACGTTGGGAAACAGTTCCTCAAAATATTAATTAGAGTTGCCATATGCCCCAGCATTTCTACTCCTATGTGTTCACCCAAGACAATTGAAAAATATGTCTATATCAAAACTGTACATGACTGTACATAGCAGCATTATCCAGAAGAGCCAAAAAGTGAAAACAACCCAAATGTCTATCAATTGATGAATGCTTAAATAAAATGTGGTATTATAATACAGTAGGTTATTATTCAGCTATAAAAAGTAATGAAGTCTACTAATGGGTATGGGATTTCTTTCTGGGTTGATGAAAATATCTGGAATTAGATGGCCATGATGGTTGCAAACTTTGGGAATACATTAAAAACCACTGAATTGTATATACCTTTGATATGTGAATTATATCTGAAAAACATTTTTAAACTTTTAATAAAAAAGAATGAAGTACTGATGCATGCTATATCATGAAGCAACCTTGAAAATGTTGCAACAATAACTTACTGGGATTTTGAAAAAAATACAAGAAATACATGCTATTTTTAACCTTGAAAAAGATATGAGCTCATGTGTAAATATGAAATTGAGCTGTGTTTGTGTTAAAAAATATATATATATAAACTTAAAACTGGGATCTGTCTTTAAACATTAAGATACAGTGCCAACAAAAAATATTAAATTGGGCTTTAATTTGGGGGGGGGTTTGAAAGGATCAAAAAAATTAGAAGGAAAAGATGGAAAGCTCAGATTAAAGAAATTTCAGTGTTATAAAAAGAACAGTTTTACTACAATAAAAAAGGAAATAACACACTATAAAATATTTTCTTTCAAATAAACTCTGGCACCTACATAAAGCTCTTTTAGATGGAATAGCCAGGGAAGGCCTACCTGTGGAAGAACATCTAAGCAGAGGGCTGACCGACAAAAGGGGTCATGCATGGGAGGATCTGGAAGAAACAACTTCGAAGCAGAGGAATAGTGACTGCAGGAGCCCGAAGTAGAACAAGATTGTCAGGCTGAGGAACAGCCAGACACAGGTGGTGGGAGAGAACAGTGGGAAATGAAGCTGAAGAGGTGATGGCTGCTCATGTCCGCCCACCTGCATTTTAATGCCGCAGCAGTGGCAGCACAGGCAGGAGGCATCTTGTTGGAACACACCATCATCTCACCTGGTTTAGATCAAGAATATTCACGAAAGTTCAGATTTACTGGTGCTGGGAACTGTGCGAAACAACGTATGTGAATCATCTCAGTTAATCTGCACAGACACAGGAGCAGGGCATTGCTGTTACCCGCCTTTTATAGACTTAGGCTCAGTTGGCCAAGTTCGCACAATCAGGCAGTTGGCAGAGCCGGAACTGGAGCTCAGGGAGGCTGACTTGAAGGCAGGTGCTTAATCCCTGCGCAGCCGGTGCTGACTCCCAAAAGGCTGGTTGATGGATTACTTTTGTGTTACAAATCCTCTCGTTAAGAAATATAAATAAATCTATTAACAGAAGAACAAAAGAGAGAGAGGAAAGAAACCAGAAGAGTTTTAATGAATGGTGTAATTAAGAAAAGCTCCAAATAAAGGCCAGGAGTCAGTTTACCCTGATAGATAATGACTGTTAAAAAGAACAAACGACCCTAGCTGGTTTGGCTCAGTGGATACAGCATTGGCTTGTGGACTGAAGGGTCCTGGGTTCGATTCCAGTCAAGGGCACATGCCCAGGTTTCGGGGTTGATCCCCAGTAGAGGGCATGCAGGAGGCAGCTGATCAGTGATTCTCTCTCATCATTGATGTTTCTAACTCTCTCTTCCTCTCTGCAATCAATAAAACTATGTTTAAAAAAAAAACAAAGAAACAGCTTATCATTGTCAAAACAGAAACCATTATCTTTTGTGTTCAGCTTTCAAAAACCCAGCTGTCACTACTAAACAATTCCATATTTCTAGGCAGCCACATCTTGAAGGGAGTCACCATTGACATAGATACCACATGAATGGCACCTCGTAGAGTTGAGCAGTGCTCTCCTGTCACATTTCTGTTGCCCAACAAGGCTGTTTGTAGCCTATTCAGAACCTGTGTGCAAATTAGAGAAAAGTGCCCCCTGCTGCAGGATGATGCGGCCAACACCAGTGCCCGCCTTCAGTGGGCATCCTTGTGCAGGGCACTGCACAGTGGTACCTGGTGGCCTGTTCCCGAGGACATGTTTTGCAGCCCTTGGCCCTGGTGGTTAAGCCACGACTGTGCTCTCAGGAGCATTTCTGAGATTTGCTCTGTCATGGGAGCTGGTTCACCTGGATATGGCGTCATTCCACTGTCGTCCCACACTGTTGTCTCTGGTGTGGAGGGCTGGCCAGACTGGCTGTCATGCCATTCCAGTATCACAAGTCTGGTATGTTTGACTTTCTTCTCAGATCGGAAAGCCTGCCAGCTGTGGTTGTCAACGCCTGTCAGCAACAGAGTAAGCCAGGTCTTGGCCTGCACCGCATGTCTGTTCTCTAGCTTGCTTCAAAGTCAAGCTGCGAGAAAGTTCAGCAGATAAAGAAGGAACTTTACCAGATATACGATCCATCTCCTCTCTTTTAGCCTTAACTGAGCTTTATCCGTCGGCAGCCACACGTCTGGACTTACTCAGCCATGGCCATCAGAATCACTGAGTTACCGTTTGATATCATGACCTTGGCATTCACATTGAGCAGTGTTGAGAAATCTTATAAAAATGCATAATTTCTGCATTTGCTGAAAATTATTGAGATTATTATCTATTACATTGTTCAGTTGCCTTGTGTTCAGGTCTCAAATGAGAAACTTTCTTTGGGATTTAGCTTTTTGGGTGCAAGACTCCTTTATTTCTTTAACTTATTCATTTGATAAGAAAAACCAGGAAACCCTGGTGTGCCATCACCATAATTATACTAGCACTGTGGTTAGGTGTTTGCTTTCTGTGACCTTGATTTTTCCCCTTTTTTTAGAAAACAATATCACATGTATGTCCTTTACTGTAAATTATCCACAGTCCATCCCACCCAGTTTTACGGAGAGGGAGGCAGCCGACATATTAAAAAAGCAAATGAATGAAATGAACTGTGTGGAAATCAATGTATATTTGTATACATAGAATCCCACATTATAAAGCCACTAAAACATAATGTGGTTAGCAATTTCAGTAAAGATTTATTGTAGATTTCTTTCAAATTCTGAGTTTCCACATGACATTTATAATATTACTTAATTTATGTGCAGGTGTTCTGGCCTTACTTAACCCATCATGTGCTGCACTTTGCCTAATATGTGATACAATATAACTTGTTACTTTATTCAGTTATATGTTGAATCATTTGGTCACTCCTGCGTGCAGCAGGACAAAGTTGTCATTTGTTTTTATTTGATGTCCATCCCATTCTCTCTGTCTTGCTCTTTCCACTCTCAGTGCCATGCGTATCATCTGCATCCTTACTAAGCAGAGTGGCCCTAACATAGGCAACCCCTCTGAGCTCGTTAGACATACAGAATCTCAGGCCCCGCCCCAGACCTCCTGAATCTGAATCTGCATTTTGAGAGGATCCCCAGGTGCTGCATATCCACAGGAAAGTGTAAGAAGAGCTGTTCTGTGTTATTACAGTAGCTTCCTCACTGCCACACCACATCCCTCTTTCTCCTTCATACCTTTTTTTTTTTTTTTTAAACAGTGCCAATGATATTATTGTCCTATGGCCTTGGCAGGACAGTAGGATTCCCTTATTTAATAAACATCTTGATGTTTGTGTTAAATACAAATTGTTAGGCGTTTTTAATGGATCTTTGGTGGGGCCTTGGACTCTATTATTTTTAACAAAAATCTGAAGAGAGTCTGATGAGCAGGCACGTTTAGAGAGCACTGGTTCCCTGAGATAAAATCAGCCTCTTAGCATGGCCCCCAGACGCTCCGCAGTGCGGCTTTTGCCCATGTTCCCTTCCGACTCTCTCTGAGACCCTGGCCTCAGCAAACTGTCTCCCAACACATGCAGCATCTCCACAGCTCAGGGCCCTGCCAGCTCTTACCTCCCTCCCTGTGGGATGGACACTGTGACTACCAACTTCGGGCTCTCCGTGACAGGTCCTTCCTGGCCTCGCACAGACTCCGCCTCTTTGGGAGAACGCCACTCCTGTGCCCTTAGTCGGGACTAAGGACTCCTCCTCCCACCTATCACTGTTTGCTTTTCTCTTCTGATACCTGTCCCATTCAGCCTAGAATTATGGTTGCTTGTGCCCCATGGGCCTAGTAAGATCCTTTAAAAGATGTATGATTTATCTTTGTGCTGTTTCTACCTCTACTCTAACTCCTTCTTTGTCATTGTACTTTTCTATTATGAAGCTCTTAAACATATATTGAATTGAATGGAAATATGCTTTTGAGAGATCATGTCCCATTGAACATCATTTAATAATGGCCCCTAAAAATCGCAAATAATTTGAAATGAGCAACAGAATATGCAGAGTATTGGGTGCTTACTAGATTTCTTAAAAGGAGGATTATACTTACTGAGAAACTTATTTGCCTCTTCTATGATAGTTTCTTTTAGCAAACACCAACACATTCCATTCTCCCAACATCTGGGGCTCCCGCTGTACCTCCTGCAAACACTTCCTCCCCTTGCCAGGCCTCTTCAACCTTAGTGTTTAAAAAGCTAGTGAATTACTTTGAATTGCTTGGTGCCAGCACTTCTTAGAAAAACATAATAGAAAGGTTTTGGATTGTGTTTTTTGTTGTTTCATTGTGGTTTTTATTTTTCCCTTTTTTTAATTTAATTTAATTTATTAGTATTATTATTTTTTTAACAATATACAAAATAAATCAGTCTGTATGCGGTCTCCACTTTCGGTCCTCGGGTATCAGGGTTCTCTCCTGCGAGCTTTCCATTGATTATCCAAGAAGTTTTCCTGTATTTTAGCTGTAATACCAGTTAGTTCCTGGGAGCATGTCCATGCAGCATCCACTTACTCTGCCATATTTAATCCTTCTCATTGTGGTTTTTAAAAACTGAATCCCCAGTGTAAACATAAAATTGTCTACTGCCTGCGAGTGTATTTACTTCAGACTTGTCATATACTTTGTTCTTTTTGTCTCAGTAATTCAGTACAACTTTAAAAATGCGTATTATCTCCTCCCAGGTGGTTGATAGTGAAAGATTCCTTTTTACTGTACATGAAGCCAGACAATGGAGCCATCGCATTCGTCCTGCTGGTGGATAAAGAATTCAGAATTAAGGTGGGAAAGAAGGAGACAGACACGAAATATGGACTCCGAATTGATAACCTTTCAAGGTAGAAATTTCAACTATTTTTAAAAGAGTAAATATTTGTTAGTAAAAAAAAAATACATTTTTACCAAAATATCTTAAAAACAAAGTCTTTCTCCCAACCTTAAATAAAGGAAGTAAAATAATTTAAATGTTTGAAAATTTTCATTTAGAACTTATCTTCAATTAAAAGTAATGAAACCACTTTTTCCTTAAATCAATATGTAAGAAGACCCTATGTCAACAGTTAGAATAAACTATCTTGTGTTGACATATGCCTATTTTAATGAAATTGACTACTCAATAATAACATTTTGCCGAATGGATAAATTAAGGAATGATAGACTGATAGATAGTTCACATTTTGAAAAAAAGATAAAATTTTACTTTATGAATTGACATCCTTTAACAAAACACAATGATTTGATTTAGAAAAATTCTGTTGACACACAGATTTTTAAGAAACATACCTTGAAAGGATACTCAAATGTACATTTATCATAGATTTTATTAGTGAGTATGTGTGTATTGATGCGTATGTTTTTTCCTGGAATATTGTAGTTCTTTCTCTCTATATACACTTGTTTCCATAAAGTTCAGCCTCATGTATACGGATATACATACATTTCTGTCTTTACTCAGATCGACTGGCGTAGAGATACAGATACTCTTACTAACATACATTTGCATGTGTGTGAGTATGTGTAAAAGATTTGCAAGTTCCTTATCTCTTTTGACAATGGAAGGTTCAGGATTGGTTATTGCAAATGCCAAGGTGGTGCCATGAAACCTTCTTCCTGTACAGTTTCTGTTTTGGGGAGGGCCATAGGCATCAGGCCACAGTTCCCACTGGTCCCAGGGGTCTGGAATATGCCCTTTTGCTTGGTTTTGGTGAACTCCGAGTAGGGAAGGAATTACTCTCCTAAAGTACAATCAGGATGTTTCCAGAAGCTGGGGAAATGGACATTAGGCACTACAAAGGGAAATGACCTCCACAGGAGCCAGCAACTAAGTAACACAGAGGCACAGGTCCTCGCCTTATACCTCTTTCATTATCCTCCTTACAGTCTAGCACACCTCCAGGACTATAGGAAGTACCTTATACATGGTTGCATGAGTGAATAAGTAGCCTGAAAATTTGTTTTTGCTACACTGACTATATTTTACAATCTTGCCAAAAATGTTTACAAGTCTGCTTTTTTTTAATTTAAGTAAGATGCTGTTTACTTAAAATTTTCAACTTATGTCTGTAGTATGGAAACAAAACGGGGCATGGTTCAGTCTCAAATTTGTTTAAAAAGACAGAACACAGAGTGACCATCCTTTTCCACATTTTGCTTTTCTTTGAAGGACACTTATTTTAAAATGCAACAGCTATAGACATGCTCGGTTGTGGGCAGGAGCTATAGAAGAATTCATCCAGAAATATGGCAGCAACTTCCTCAAAGATCACCGATTTGGGTCATATGCTACTCTCCAAGAGAACATTTTAGCTAAATGGTAAGATCTTTTTGGTCTAAGACTGTCAGGGTAGTCATAGAATCAATTTCCCTAAAGTCAGTTTTCAAAGCTGTGAAAAGATGTAATGCATTATACCTAACAAAGGCTTTTCTTTATAGGACTACCTGAGCATCAATTAGTTTTCCAATTTTTGTTTTAAAGATATTTTATAATGAGCTTTAAAATAGCCAATTTTAGATTTTGAAGTTTGATTTTAAAAACTAACTTTCTAAATTTTCTTAATGATGCAAAGGGAAGATTTATTTAAGTCGTTAGCCATGATTTAAGAAAAAGAATTTACTTGCTGGATATTTCTTTTAAATATATTTTATTGATTTCAGAGAGGAAGGGAGAGGGGGAGAAAGATAGAAACATCAATGATGAGAGAGAATCATTGGTTTGCTGCCTCCTGCACACCCCACACTGGGGATCGAGCCCACAACCCAGGCATGTCCCCTGACTGGGAATTGAATCATGACCTCCTTGTTCATAAGTCAACCCTCAACTACTGAGCCTCACTGGCCGGGCCGGGCTATTTCTTTTAATTAAAATCATTCTTAGCATGTTTTTCTACCCATGGATTTAAAACAATTCTGTTTTCAGTCTCCAAAGAACAACTGTGTGTGAGTTCAAGAGAATAGGAGAGTTCATTTGACCCTGTATGATAATGATACCAATCAATTGTTGCTTACCTCTATGGGTTTACTGTACTTCCTATGTAGCATTCTCAGCCCTTGTTTTTCATTTACAGAAAATTAACTAGTGGTTGTGTAGGGACTCTTGGCAATAGCTTCCATCTTTGGCTTTGCCATAAGATATGTGTCTTCTCCTCTTTTCTTATTTTTTTGTAAAACAAACCCTCCCCCCACACACACACACACACAAATGAAAAAAACAAAAACAAAACAAAAAACACTTGTCTTTCAGGTATGTTAATGCCAAAGGATATTTTGAAGATATTGCAAATGCGATGGAAGAAGCAAAAGAAGAGATTTTTATCACGGATTGGTGGTTAGTATTTGTCCCTGGGGATGGTGTTTGGAGTCTCTATGTTTAGGAATGTACAACAGTGTTTGTTGTGCTGTCCCAGAGTCACACATTATGAAAACCAGCAGTACCCACAGATGGTCTGGCCGAAGTCTCTACCAATTAACTCTAATAGCCTCCAGTGGAAGGTCTTTTCAAAACACTTGGCACCCAAATATATTCTTAAAATATTTAGCTTGAACAATATTGTACTTGTCTTTCTATTTGGAAGCAGACACTCAGTATTCATTTTAGTAAAGATTATGTTGCAATGCAAACATAGTTGTAGAGGTAGTGGAAAATAATCATCCTTGGGTAGTTTTTCCTCATTTTGGTATGTCTGTCACTAGATCCAGTGAATATAATTCTTCAGAATTGTCCCTTTGAAATTGGAATCGTTCCATTTGCCCATTACTACTTAAATGTCCTTGTTAATGACTAGCCTGGTCAGCTTTTTTGGAGATATGTCAGGTTTCAATTGTCTGACCCCCCTTAAAAACATCCATGAGAGTTATGATGCTTTTTAAAGCCACTAGAAGTCTCATATCTAAAACTCATTTAGCTACTGGGAAATTTTACCCCTGAAGTTGGTGTAGGCTTTGTAGTGTGACTTTAGCTCCAATTACCTACCTGCCTGGACAGTGAAGAATGACTGCAGATGTCAACATTGACTGTAATGGAAATGAAAACATTTAAAACGTGTTTTTCTTCTAATATCTTAGTTGCTTAAGATGCCCCTATTTTTCCCTATCCTGTTTCCTTCCAAATGCTACCTTATGTAGGAACTGTGAAAATATCATCATAACTTATTTCCTCTTAATTCTAGACTTGGAGGCAAAGGGGAGAGTAGTTAGGAATGTGAGCTCATCTTTTTCTACGCTTTGCCTCAGTGATGTGAAAGTCTATCATTCTAGGGCATGCTTTCCCAACCTGGGCACTACTGACATTTGGGGCCAGATAATTCTTAGTTGTGGGGTGTTGTTCTGTGCATTGTGGGATGTTTAGCACCATCGGTATCCCTGGCTTTTACTCACTAGATGACAATAGCAAGATCCCAGTGGTAATAACCTGTGTCTTTAGACTTTGCCAAATGTCTCCTGGGAGGCAAGGTCCCTCTGGGCTGAGAATCATTGATCTAGAATCATCAGATAAGGTATGTGCTGGTCAGCACGGCTACAAATAATTTATTCTCATATTGTTGGAGGAGCTTATTCTTGGCCTTTACTAGTATATTATTGACAAATTTTGCCCCATTAGTCAATTACCAGGAATAACATAAAGTTTCCTGCTTTAGGAGCTGTTTCTTTGGTTGATACTTTCTAAACACTTACGAGAATTCATTCAAGTTTAATGTCGTACTATACTCCTTGAAGAAAAATATTTATGAAAGTTTGACGAAGACATGAGAGAGAATGAAAACAGTTTTTCCATTGAGCCCATGTTCTCATGTTTTGTGCAAGAATATATTCTCTTTTGAAGGTTGTGAATGCCAAAGTAAGACTCACATTTAAACATTTAAAGAGATGAAACCCTGACTGTTTTCTCTTCTACTGTTAGCAAAAATATGAATCAGAATGTTATTTCTTTGTCATGACTTCTCTAAGATAACATCTTATTACAACACTACCTTTGAAATAAAACCTTTGTGGTAACTTCCCTCAGAACAAGTGAAGAAAATTCTTGTCATGCAAGTATACTGCAAAAGGGAACATTCAAAAGCTTAACCAAACCCTGATATGTCTAGACCTGAGAGAGTAATAAGCATAGTTAGAGGAAACACATGCCCTTTAGAAACTTCCGATCTAATTCAAGAGACATCATGTACTTAAGTAAAAATGGTATTAATATGTTTTTAAAGCAATTATTATGCAAGCGAAGGCAAATATAGTGACATGAGAAACAACCTGGGACCTAGAATTACTCAGTTCCTTTGTTCATTAACTTGACCACCTATCCATTCACTTGCTAATTTATTCACTGATTCATTCCAGGGCTATTTAGTGAGCATGTGCTCTGTGACAGGTACTGACCAAGGCTATCCTATATAATAAAACCCTAACATGCAAATCAACCGAATGGCAGAACAACTGGTCACTATGACGTGCATTGACCACCCTGGGGGCAGATACTCAATGCAGGAGCTGCCCCCTGGTGGTCAGTGTGCTTCCACAGGGAGAGTGCTGCTCAGTCAGAAGCGGGGCTCATGACTGGCAAGCACAGCAGTGGTGGTGGAAGCCTCTCCCGCCTCCGCTGCAGACAGGCAGTAAGGAGAGAGGGGTCCCGGACTGCGAGAGCCCTGGACTGCAAGAGGGATGTCTGACTGCCAGCTTAGGCCCAGTCCCCGAGGGGATCAGGCCTAAGCCAGCAGGCGGACATCTCCCGAGGGGTCCTGGATTGCAAGAGGGTACAGGCTGGGCTGAGCCCCCCCCCCACGGTGCACGAATATTGTGCACTGGGCCTCTAGTGTGCATATAAAGATGAGTGAGAACCAGCTTCTACCCTGGAACAACATAGAGTCAGGAAGTCATACATAAAACAACAGATTGGGGAAAACTCGGTGATGAAGATCAACACAGCAGAAGACATGGAGGGGTAGTGGCTGAGCCTGCAAGAGGGGGCTCTGGAAGCTTCACAGAAGAGAATGCTGGCCTGGGGCCTGGGGATGGAGTTGGTGAGAAGAAAACAGGTGAACGTTTTAGGCAAAGGGACAGCCAAGACCAAGGCATAGGGGTGTGAGAGAGCACAGCAATTTTGGAGCATAGCATTCTTTGGGATGTTTAGACTTGAAACCACAGAAATCCTGGAAGAAAACAGGCAGTAAAATCTCACACATTTCCCATTGTAACATTTTTTCTGATCTATCTCCTCTGGCAATATCTGTGTTTATATTTTTATTTTTTTAAATCTTTATTGTTGAAAGTATTACATATGTCCCCCCTTTTCCCCATTGACCTCTTCCAGCCTACCCCTGCCCCCTACCCCAGGCCTTTACCACCCTATTGTCTATGTCCATGGGTTATGCATATATGCATACAAGTTCATTGGTTGATCTTCCCATCCACCTACCCTCCCCTGCCTTCCCTCTGAGGTTCAACAGTCTGCTTGATGCTTCTATTTCTCTGGATCTATTTTTGTTCATCAGTTTATGTTGTTCATAAGATTCCACATATGAGCAAGGTCATGTGATTCTTTTCTTTCTCTGACTGGCTTATTTTGCTTAGCATAATGCTCTCCAGGTCCATTCATGCTGTAGCAAATGGTAAGAGTTCTTTCTTTTTTGCAGCTATGTAGTATTCCCTTGTGTAGATGTACCATAGTGTTAAATCCACTCATCTTCTGATGTGCACGTAGGCTGTTTCAAAATCTTAGCTATTGTAAATTGCTCTGCTATGAACCTGTGGCAAGGATGCAGAGAAAAGGGAATCCTCGTGCACTGCTGGTGGGAATGCAGACTGGTGCGGCCATTATGGAAAACAGTATGGAGGTTCCTCAAAAAATTAAAAATGAAAATGCCATTGACCCAGTGATCCCACTTCTAGGAATATATCCTAAGAAATCAGAAACACCAATATCTGTGTTTTTAATGTCAGATTTCTTTTCAAAGCCTTTGCAGTGTGGTTCAGCTCTGTCCCCCATGTGCTCCACCTAGTGGCTGGTTTGGGCAGTGGTCTATTTTTTTCAGTTCTCAAACTTTCTGGCATAATACAGGGTGGGGCAAAAGTAGGTTTACAGTTCATAAATAATACAATAATAAATAACAATACAGAAACAAAAACTCTATGTTTTGCATATTCACAACTATAAACCGACTTTTGCCCCACCCTGTATTTAGGATCAAATCCATGCATTGGCAGCTTGGGAGTGAGCTCGAAGTCACAAACAGATTTATAGGGCTGCTTTCCTGAGCTCTTCTCTCTCCGCGATCCCCCCACTAATTTTGGGTTTCCTGTGGCTTCCCTTTTGCTGCCACTTCTATCACTGCCAAAGATCTCACTCTTTCCCCTCAGGCCTGAACTAGAGACCAATCGCATCGCACCCGCCTTGGCTGGCCTAGCGCCAGTGCGTGTCATAGTGTGGTCGTCCGGACGGTTGTTCTGCTGTTCGACCATTCGGTCGATTTGCATATTACACTTTTATTATTATAGATATTTTTATTATAAGAATACAATATAAAATCTATCCTCTTAGCAAATTTTTAAATATAGAATATAATCTAATATAGCTAACTATAGGCACTATACTATGCAGTAGGTTAACTATAGGCACTATGTTGTACATAGATCTCTCAGACTTACTCATTTTGCATAACTGACTGGTACTTTGTACCCTTTGATCAAGACCTCCTCATTTCCTCCTTCCTTCACTCCTGGTAACCACCACTCAAGGAATCATTGTTGGGGAATGTAAATTGGCGCAGCTAATATGGAAAACAGCATGGAGGTTCCTCAAAGATTTGAAAAATAGAACTACGTTATGATCCAGGAGTCCCACTTCTAGATATATATAAAAATGAGTTGAAATCAAGATACTAGTATTGAAGAGATACCCGTTTTCCCATGTTCATTGCAGCTGCATTCACAACATCCAAGACATAGGAACAACCTAAATGTCCATTAAGGGATGAATGGATAAAGAAAATGAAGTATTTACATTCAATGGAATATTATTCAGCCTTTTAAAAAAGGAAATTCTACCATTTGCAATAATGTGGGTGAACCTGGAGGACATTACGCTTAAGTGAAATAAGCCAGACACAAAAGAACATATAATACAAGATCCCACCTTTCTGAGAAATCTAAAGTAGTCAAACTCCCTTTTTCTTTTTTAATCTGGCTAGAAGTTTATCAATTTCATTAATTTTTAAATGAGCTAGCTTTTGGTTTCATTGTGTTTTCTCTATTGTTATTGTCTTATATTGCATTGAGTGCTATTCATCTATTCTTCCCTTTCTTCTTACATTAGGTTTAATTTTTTCTGTTTCTATCTTCTTAAGATGGAATCTCTGATCATTGATTTCAACTGTTGTCCTTCTCATATAAATATTTAAAGCTATAAGAGAAGAGCATTTACTTGGAAGTCCATGTTCACATCTCTGGAGTCAGGATAGATCTTACCTTCAGTAACATCTTACAGTGGTAACTCTCATCACATTTTCTTTCTTAGTGGTACACACAGTAATGAAGCATCTTGCCATCATCCGTGTCCTAGATTCAGTGAAATACAGTATCATATAATTCTTTTGAACTTAGTTTATCTAATAACTACTTAGTAAAGATCCTGACACAATGATACTTGGGCATCATAGCTGCCCTCTCTTTGCCATTGTTTATACTTTGTTTATATCAGTCTTTTATCATTTTATTATCCTGAAAATTGAGGGTTCCTTGAGAGCTATATTAAGATCCTCCAAAGTAACTAGTAGAATATTCTGCATACAGGGTGCACAATGCTTGTATAGTAAATAAAGGATAAGAGACTTGATTGCTGAGCATAGCTTTAGAAGTGGCCCCAAAACGGAAGCCCTCTGAGTCCATAATTAATGTATATATAAAAAATTGCAAGTATGTATATGTTGCTGGATCTATCTCATCTTCAGTGAACTAGCAGTGTACAGTGCTGTACTTTTCTACTTAAAACAGAACTCTTTGTAATTCATCATAAATCTTTTGCTGCATTTTTTGTTTGTTTAGACATAGATTACCTTTGAGTTGTTTCCTATTTTGAATTAAATACGCAAGTATTTGTACTGTATCTACTCCCACTATTTGTCTGTTTTCTTAATAATCTCGCCCAATATGTGTTTCCTTTGGATATGTTATGTCTGAGTTTTTATTTTCTTTAAGTGAATGAAATAGAGCATAAAATTATTGCTTTTAATCTCTTTAGCTCCTTAAAACCCTGTTGTTGTCACCTTCTTAGAGGACTTCCTGGCAAGGCAATATTACAGCCTAGTGTTCAATAAGACTTTAATCCATATACAGTCTCCTCCTCTTCCTCTAGGTCTAGCATTTCAGCAGATGAAGTTTTCTTGTTTGTTTTTCCTCATTACAGGGAAGTCATATCACATATAGATTTAACTGACTTCAGACCTCAACCCCAAGGGAAAAAGGGACTCTACTGTATGCTTAGCTGCCTGGGGCATTACGAAAAAGAAGAGCCAAGGGGTTTATCCTCACATGGGAGACATTTTATCAGTGAGCCTTCTCTTTTTTGCTCAGAAAGACCCAGGTTTCATGGACACGGCTCCTTGGAAGCCAGCGTGTCTGTTCATCAGTTAGAACACTTTGGGCTGGATGAACAGAATGCTCCTCTGGAAGTGGCTTAAACAACAAGGATTCATTTGTCCCACATAATGAGAAATCCCAAGTCAGGCAATCCTAAGGTTGGCGGAGTGGTCTAGTGATTTCACCATTCTGGTCTTTCCCTTAGAATTTCAATATGACTGCAACATAGCCCCATACAATACCCACCCTAAAGTCTCTTTTCCTTTTTTAAGCGACGGTGTGTCTCTCTATCACCAAAGAGGAAAAACTTCCCCATGAACCCCACATGCGCCCCCTCATGTATCTCATTGTCCAGGATTGTGTGACATTGTGCAGGAGTCCGGGGGAAGCGAGGGTATAGAATATTTACACTATATGGTGGGAACAAGGAAGAAAAAGGTGGGCAACCAACAGTGTCTGCATGTGTGTGTATGTGTGCACATGTGAGTAAGATGTATGGAGAGAAATCTAGGTCGGCTTTTTGTATGGACAAAGGCTCGCGCTTCCATATGAACTTGTACATGGAGTTATGTGGATGACCTGCCCCAGTGGAGGAGGAGGATGGCATTTGGGCTAAACTCGCCTTTGCTTCCTATGACACAGTCAGAACTTTGTATGTTGTTTTAGTTACTTGAAATTTTGTGATTTCAGGTTGAGTCCAGAAATCTTCCTGAAACGCCCTGTGGTTGAAGGAAATCGTTGGAGGTTGGACTACATTCTTAAACGAAAAGCAGTATGTACTTTCCGAACAAGTGCTGATGTGATTTCTTAAATGCTTATTGCCTCTTAAATGCCTTTTCTTTTTAAAGTCCTTCATGCATACTTATAACTTTCTTTTTAGAGTTGGATAGAAAAGTAGAATACTTTCTGTTTTCAAATTCAGTTGGTTCTGATTTTTTTTCCTGTTGTTCTAAAATGCATAATATTTTAGCCTAGTACAAAGCATGACTTTTATTAGCAGCTAGAGGCCTGTTGCATGAAAAGATTCGTGCAATAGGCTTTCCCTTCCCCTGGCTGCCTTCACTGGTTTTCCTCCAGCACCCAGGACCCAGGCCTTCTCTCTGGCTGGAGGCGCCTTCAAGCCTCTCGCGGCTCCAGCGGCCGAAGGCACCTTCAAAGCCTTCGCTGCTCCAGCTGGAGCCACCTTCAGTCTTCACTTGGCCACTCACATATGCAAATTGACCGTCATCTTTGTTGGTCGTTAATTTGCATATCATGCTGATTAGCCAATGGGAGGCGTAGCAAAGGTACGGTCAATTACCTTGTTTGTATATTATTAGATAGTATTCTAATTTTTATTTTTTTGATCAGATATGGGTAGTTAGTTTTATAGTCAAAATTTGTGATAAAATTTTATTAATGGATAATAAAAGATGAAATAAAACATAGCATTTTTATTTTACTTACTATGCTGTTATTTGAGCAAAAGACAAAGTCATCTGAGATTTCACTCAGATGGGGCCAAGCTGATGTTGAAGAATATCAAGGAAGAGGGACATTAAGAATTGGTGCTGTTCTATTTCAGTTTGGGAACAGTTCCTGGTAATAATGTGAAATTGTTTCCTGTGCAGTTGACCATGTAGATTCTGGGTGAGCACTTGAGTGTGCTCTTTTTATTATAAAAAATAAATAACTGAATCAGTATAGCAGGTTCATCAAAGACTACTTTACATGCATATTTCTAGTGAAATTTTTTATGTAGTTGGCCCTTAACCAAGTTAAATTAAGGTGAATTAGAATAGAACTGGATTTCTTATTAATCACATTCAAATGGGGATTGCTAGCCTTTTTACTATTATTTGAAACTGTCTTAATCTTGTTTATTCTATCATTAAACATTCCTGCAGAATTTGTAGATCCTAAGTAATCGTGGGTAGTATTTTACTATTCCTCACAGCCTACACTCATTTCTTTTCCCCCATCCTTTCCATTCCCCTACCTCTTGCCCCACTCACCTTTTCCTTTCCCTTCAATGTCTTTTCCCCATGTTTTTACTTTAGGATTTTTGCAGATATCAAAATCTTTGATTTTTAGTATCTGAGCTCACTGCTAATATTGAAGACTGAAATTGATCATCTTTATTTCAGACACATGTCTTGCCACACAGCATCATTTTCATGGCTAATCTAATGTGTTGTTTGAACAAAAGTCTATTCACCAAATTGGAAATTCTGGTCTTGAAAAGCATTATTTGCATAGTCATTAAATAATTTAGCATACAGTTACCTCCTGATCCACGTACTAGACTAATTACTAATTCGTGTATGAAAAGGATTCCATCCCTGCCCATGGAAGGCTTGCTCAAGGACTCATGCTCTGGGCTCAGTCCTAGGATTACCAAATGTGTTTCTGTATGTTGAATGGGCTATAATTTTCTCCAGGAGTCAATCATACTAGTAAATCCTCTCCTTACAGTACTTACCCAACACTTTACTGTTTTAGCTTTCAATCAACATGCGTTTGCTGAATGCCTAGTGAGTGCAGGGCACTTGGCTAATCATATGTGAATGTACATAAATAAATAAGAAGCATGATTCTTGACCTAAAGGAGCTTAAAAATTTCCACAAGAGTCAATTGAGTACAGAGACAGGGCCAAGATTCAAAGGCAGGAAGGAGAGCATTGGGTAAGTCTGGTGGGGAACTCCTCAGGACATGAGAGATTTAGGGCATTTAGAATGAGCAAAAAAAATTAAAAAGAAGACGTTTCTAGATGTAGGAAATGGGGTGTGGAAACAGGAATTCAGAAGGCTTTGCCAGTCACAGTAAGGTGACAAGGTTGATTTCACCTGAGTGTTAGCACAGGTAGGTTAGCGGGTCAAGATGGAAAGGCAGGCTGCAGCTAGGACGTGAAAGGTTGATGATCCAAGCCAGTGGCGTGGGCTTTGTGGAGTACAGTGGGGATCTACTGGGATGGGGGTGTTATGGATGACGGACGATCTGGTCAAAGTGATGTGTTGGAAGGTGAATCTAGTAGTGGGAGGAAGTGGGACAAACTCAGATTTAGAGAGCTAAAGTTTAGATCATTTGAGTGTGAGATGCATACAGAACATCTAAGTAAACTCCAGAAAGTAGTCGATGCCAGAACAGGGCTCAGGAGGAAGATCCTGCAAGCCAGGCCCTCCACCTCATGTTCGCTGGCAGATGTTTGTCTATCCCCTTAGTGTACCTGCCCAGTTTCCTTTTCTATCACAACCATGGCTTCTCTTTGCTTTTATTGCCTGTGAACCCTGGTAAGGTTCCAGGTGGACACCAGGGCCCAGTAATCATTATGGCCTGATAATGGTGCTTTATTTGAATTTTATCAGCTTCCTGAAACTTGTGATTTTTGAATTGTGGATAATGATTTTTAAAATTTCATAAGGAGATAGTAGCTGTTAAATATTAATTTCTCAGTGGGTCATTTAGCAGAATTGCTCTTCCGTAATCTAGCTATGGCATATTATTAATTTGGTCATGCCTTTTTAACACTTGGATCATTCCAAATTGACATTTCATATGCTTATGAACAGTTTCATATAAATAATTGTTTCTGAAAGCCACTAATTTCACAAAGTAGTGGGTTGATAACATTATTTTTGCATTAACAGGTCCCAGAGGTTCATAAGGTTGATTTAAATAAGTGATTTTTTTTCCTTCCATTTGATTGTGCAGATTTTAGGGAAGGAACTTAGTGTTTCTGCCTCATAGCCAACATATAGGCAAACATTTCTTAAAATGGCTGTTTCTTAGGGGAAAAATACAATATTTTGTTTCTCTGTAATGACCGAGTTGATATTTCCCTGTCTCTTTGGTCTTCTGATATGCAATGTTATTATTTAAAATAGTCTAAGCTAACCTTGAGAGGCAGAGTGTTTGCAATTCAAATCGGCATCCCAAGGTTTCCCACAGTCCTGCGTTGTCTCCACTAAGAGGTGAGCTAATTTGCTTCATGGTTATGGTAACTATATCCTTGTACCCAATTGGTATAACCTTAGCTTAGCGATATGTAATACTTCTGATGAGACTTGCACCAAAAGAATCTTCAAGCACAGCAACCTGGGAGCTTACAGAACAAGGTGTAGGTCCTCAGGGGGCTTTTGTCATCTGGTTCATTTCTTACTGCCCCAGATCACAGGGCACATTCTAGAGTGGCAGTCTGTGAGCAATGGGAGAGAAGGATGTCCAGGGTTATCAAATGAGATAAATAATCATATCTCTGCCCAGAAAAATCAGAGAGAATCTTATCCAAGTGGTGACCTGGAAGGGCATGGCAGGGAAGGGAGAAGACATGTTCAACTTTGAGGTCTGTGCTTTAGACAAAACTGGTTAAAAAAGAAAACAACGAAACAACTCACAAGCATTTGTGATCTTACAACCCAATGCTGCCTGCAATTAACTGGCAAGGATATGGATTTTTTTTTCATTCCACCCCTGGGGAATTCTTGGACAAGTGATAAAATCCGCGATTAGCCTGTGGAACTGTAAGCTAAGCTCTCTTCAAGCAGAGGACAGACCTGGCTGCATCCAGGAAATATTTTGACCACAGTACTTGGAACAATCTGAGAAAACGCTGGCTCAGAAACAAAGTCTCTTGATTTCAACTCTGAAAAATGTTTATGTGTTTTGTTTTTGCATGTGTGATGTGTATCTAAAACTCCTAAAGCTTCCTACTGCTGACAGTATTGTGTCTGTTCTACTTGAGTAAAAGCAAATTAGAAAAGAGGACAGAACGTTCATCTTTGGAAATTCAGGTTTGATGACATTGACTCTGTAGAACCTTCTGGCTAGTTGACTTGAGTAGAGATCAGAAACATGGTGTTGCGCAGTCAAATCCCAGCCATCCCATTTGTTTTTCTACTTCCCCTATTAATACTTTCCTTCCACCTGTCTTAGCAAAAGTCGCTGAAAGGCATTAGAAAAACATTGGCTGTTTGAAAAGTGTATTTTTTTTAAATTACAGAGTTAATATTAGTCCTTTTGTTTTCTTTCTAATTTGGATTTCATTTTGCATAAATATTTCCCACATTTGTATAAGTTTCCACAATTATGACCCAGGAAATGCCTTTGTTCCCAAGGAACATTTTTTCCTTTGCCGTTTAGAGTTTATGGGAGTGTTGCAATGCATTGACCAAAAGAAGAGTTTTATTGCTTTATTATCACAGAAGTCTCGTCACTAATTAACTGTTTATTGTAGATGTGAGTAAGTAATTGTAAGCCAGACTGCATAAAAATGAACTTTTTATATTTAATTACTTCCTTATTAGTCATTTGTATTTAAGCTAAAAAGACTCAAGGTCTCTACCCTATTTCCTCTAGAGTTCATTTATTTCAATGATTAAAGACCCAGTAAGAAGAAAATGTCAGGTATGATAGATGGAGGGTAATAATGTAATCCATTAGCGTTAACATCTCTATTATTTCAAAAATCCATTCGGTATGCAGGTAAATGGAAAATTGTAAGATTCAGGCCAGTTCCTAAGTTGTGACTACTTTTCTTATGAGTGAGTAATAATCTCATAAGCCTAAGGAGCAGAATTTCATCCATTCGAAACAAATCAACCATGATGAAAGATATCAGCTGTAATGTACTATAACTTAGGTGGAAATTTTAGGTTTTAAACTTTGTATCTTTCAATGGGAGGCTATTTTTTGGTAGCTGTTATTCCGTGCTGAATCCTAAATATTCAGATAGCAAAGTAAACCTGAACAATAGAGGAGAAAAATAACATAATGTTCTTGTTTTCCTTTAGAGCCCTCAGCCAGTGATTCACAGCTGAGCACTCAGTGGCCAGAGCATTAGACATTAATCTGTTCACTTCTTGTCTACACTTTCACTTCCTGATCTCTTTACTCAAATAATAGTTATGTCATTATAACAAATAATGAGCAAGATCCAAAAGTCTGCTGGTAACCAGGGAAATAGAATGACTTCTTTTTTTTAGAGCAAGAGTTAATCTTCTCCTAGTACTCACATTTCCTCAATGCAGCCCAGACTGTGAATCTAGTGTGTCCCTTCAAAAATGTATACACTTCTTAGATAGTACTAACATCAAGAAAGTTAAATTATTAGTATTATGAATATGTTATTATAAGGCTTTAGGGGCCAAAATAATACATACTTCTTGGTACTGGCAGAACAATATTTGGGAATTGTATATGTGTTTGGTTTACTCCAAGTTTCGACATCCTGCAACCTAAAATATAAACTTCTATATTATTTTCCATTCTAAATATATTTGTATTGATTTCAGAGAGGAAAGGAGAGGGAGAGAGAGATAGAAACATCAATGTTGAGAGAGAATCATTGATCAGCTGCCTCCTACACACCCCACACTGGGGGTGAAGCCCGCAACCCGGGCATATGCCCTAACTGGGAATCAAACCATGACCTCCTGGTTCATAGGTCAACCCTCAACCACTGAGCCATTTATGACTCAAATTTCCATGATAAACAATGCCTAATTATCATGGATTATTCATTTACACTTCAAATTATTCTCTGCCACTATAATTTATTAGATATGCCTACATCTCTAATAATTTAGGAAGTATTATGAAATATTTCTTATGGTCTAATCTCTGGGATATTAAGTGCCTACTTTAGATACATTATCCAATATGTGTGCAATATGTTTCAGAATGCTTTCAGAGCTGCTGGGAATAGAGAGTGCAAATTTAAATGCTGCAAACTGCACAGCAATACTGAGGATGCACACCTAAAAAGTAAAAACGTAGCACAGGAAGTGGGGGTAAATGAGACCAGAGTCCTGGATAAGTACATTCTGATCTATATGTTGAGGCGGAACCATCTGAGTGGACATGGAGAAGGGGTGGGATGTTCGGGGGCGGGGCGATTTAGCACAGGCTGAAACCTTGTCACCACCCAGAACTAGAAAAGGAGGTACTGCTATGTCTTTGTACTACCAGTTGCTGAACATTCTCCTTTTTGATGGTTAATATTAATAATAAATGTTATTTCTATAACATTTAAAGTTTTCCAGACACCTTTGATTTAATTTGACCCTCCTAATGGCCTTGTCTATTTTCTTTTAGCTCCAAGTGTTCGTTTGTGTGACACTGCTAAAATTCTGGGATTTTTGAATGTTAGAGAAGATGACTTCTGAAGTCATTTCATTGGTGAAATCAACATTAATGATTCAATTATGGGTTAAGAGTGTGAACCAATACATTTATCTCCTAAAACTTAAGAAATGTGCCCTGGCCAGTTTGGTTCAGTGATTAGAGCTTTGGCCCTTAGACTGAAGGGTTTGATTTTGGTCAGGAGGCAACCAATCACACATCAATTTATCCATTTAAATAATTTTTTTATTTTTAAAGAAAAATTCTAGCCCAGCAGGTATGGCTCAGTGGTTGAGTGTTGACCTACCAACTAGTAGGTCATGGTTCGATTCCAGGTCAGGATGCATGCCTGGGTTGCGGGCTCGATCCCCAGCATGGGGCATGAAGGAGGCAGATGATCAATGATTCTCCCTCATCATAAATGTTTCTAATTCTCTCTCCCTCTTCCTTTCTCTCTGAAATAAATAAAAAACAAAAATAAAAAAAACAACAACAAACAACAAAAAATTCTATGAAACATACCCCAGGAACATTAAGGGATATTTAGTTTAAATTATAACAGAGGTTTGTTTTTAATCACTGTGAAGGTGGCAGATGATCAATGATTCTCCCTCATCATAAATGTTTCTAATTCTCTCTCCCTCTTCCTTTCTCTCTGAAATAAATAAAAAACAAAAATAAAAAAAACAACAACAAACAACAAAAAATTCTATGAAACATACCCCAGGAACATTAAGGGATATTTAGTTTAAATTATAACAGAGGTTTGTTTTTAATCACTTCAACAGTTGAAGTAAATGAAAACAAACAAACAAACAAACAACTCTAGTCAAATATTGACACTGTCTTGGCATAACAAATTGTAGGAATGGAAGAAAGATAATATTTATTTTTTACATCTGGGTCTTAATATACATACATTTTTATTTCACCTTCCTTGTATTGTGTTGTTCATTAAATATTTTACTATACTTGTTTATAGAAGAAATTTTAGAAAATATAGTGCGCAGAAAGGAAGAAGAAAAAGAAAACCATAATCTACCTACAGAAATTCTCATTCCTGCCTGTGTTTTCTCCTGTAACAGCAAGAGGGGGTGAGGATCTTCATAATACTGTACAAAGAGGTGGAACTTGCACTTGGAATAAACAGTGAATACAGCAAGAAGACTTTAATGCGTCTGCACCCCAACATAAAGGTATTCAGGTTCATCTTGCTGAACCATGTTTCTTCTTTATTATTCTGTAGTTTTTCAGGTTTATTTTCCTCTGAGCAGTGGTAATGTGTAGAATTTCCTAATGTATATATTGAATAAATAGGATTGTGTTCTCAGAAATACAAGAAAATACTATAACTTTTTTTAATACTTCTAATATTGATGGAGTCAATAAGGGTCACATTTCTGCTTTTCTCACCCTGACTAGAGGCCTGCTGCACAAAATTCATGCACCAGTAGGGTCCCTAGGCCTGGCCGGCGATCAGGGCCAATCGGGCCCTTCCAGCTGATGGCTGGGGCCTCCCTTTCCCAGCTGCTGGCTGCCAGCTGGGGCCTTGCTTCGTTCCACACCACCCCCTGGTGGTCAGCACACGTCATAGCAAGCGATCGAACTCCCAGTCTTCCGGTCAAACTCCCAAGGGGACACTTTGCATATTAGCCTTTTATATATATAGATTACATATATAGATAATTTAGTTAAGAGCACACTTCCTAGATTTGTTTTGAGGCCTGTCAAGTTTCCATTCTCCTCATTAAGATGATCCTAGAATCTCTAAAATGTGATCTCCCTGTGGCATCCCTTGAATACTGATAGCAACAAAGACTTAAGGACTTAAAGTACTTTTCTTTTAAAAAAATATTTTATATTCATTTCAGAGAGGAAGGGAGAAGGAGAGAGAGATGGAAATATCAATGATAAGAGAGAATCATTGATCGGCTGTCTCCTGCATGCCCCACTGGGAATCGAGCCCACAACCCGGGCATGTGCCCGGACCGGGAATAGAACTCTGACCTCCTGGTTCATAGATCGGCACACCCCACACTGGGAATCAAGCCCACAACCCGGGCATGTGCCCAGACCGGGAATAGAACTCTGACCTTCTGGTTCATAGATCGATGTTCAGCCACTGAACCATGCCAGCCAGGCCTTAAAGTACTTTTCTTAATGACATCTTGTTATTTGATATTTTATCAAAGACCTAAAGCTTATCAATAAATATTTCCCAGTCAGCCCTGGCCAGTGTTCTCAGTGGTTAGAACATCAGCCCATGCACCAAAGGGTCTTGGGTTCCATTCCTGCATTTAGAGAGAATTCTTTACAAGCAGAAAGTTAATAACTCCTCAAAGTACCCTTCAAATTAAGAGCTGCCAAAATATCTATCTCCCTATATTCATATGCTTCCTATTTTGACTCCATGGCTGCCAAAAGATCAATATAGTTATCTAAAAACTAGAGGCCCGGTGCACGAAATTTATGCACTGGGTGGGTGGAGGGGTGTCCCTCAGCCCAGCCTGCACCCTCTCCAATCTGGGACCTCTCGAGGGATGTCCGACTGCCCGTTGGGATCGGGCCTAAACGGGCAGTCGGACATCCCTCTCACAATCCAGGACCACTGGCTCCCAACTGCTCTCCTGCCTGCCTGATTGCCCCTAACCGCTTCTCCCTGCCAGCCTGATCCACACGTAACCACTCCCCTGCCAGCCTGATCGACGCCTAACTGTACCCCTGCCAGCCTGGTCGCCCCTAACTGCCCTCCCTTTCAGGCCTGGTCCCCCGCAACTGACCTCCCCTGCTGGCCATCTTGTGTCCACATGGGGGAGGCCATCTTGTGTGTTGGAGTGATGGTCAATTTGCATATTACCTCTTTATGATATAGGATTTGCCACAGATAGAGATGTTGTTTAAAAATTTTTAGAGTTTTGTTTTTTTAAATAATACCAGATATATCCTTTTAGGGGGGAAAGGGAATTAGCTATTTCTTTGAGCTGACTTTATAGGAATATGTGCCCAAGCTTCAAGCTAAATGGCAGTTGCCCCAAAATGTAGAATGAGTGAGGGTGGGGGAGGCTTCAGATGTAACTAGGAGTCTTCCCAGTTAAATACTGAGAATAAAAGGCGAAGTTTGGGGATTTTCTTTGGTGTATACAGAGCCCATTTTGGTATTTGAATTATAGAAAATGCTACTCAGGGGTGAAAACAGAAGGTCATTTAAAAAATCATGTTACATTTGCAATTTTTTCCTCTTAAGGTGATGAGGCACCCAGATCACGTGTCGTCCGCCGTATATCTGTGGGCTCATCATGAGAAACTTGTCATCATTGACCAGTCAGTGGCCTTTGTAGGCGGGATCGATCTGGCCTATGGCAGGTGGGATGACAATGAGCACAGACTCACAGACGTGGGCAGCGTGAAGCGTGTCATCTCTGGACCGTCTCTGTGTTCCCTCCCAGTGAGTAATGTCATCTTTACAGAACTGCATAAGAGGGACACAGTTTGTGTAAATATATATGACTAGCGGCCCAGTGCACATGGGGTCCCTCACTGTGGCCTACTGGGATTGGGCCGAAACCCGCAGTCCAACATCCCCCGAGGGATGTAGTGGTGCGGGAAGTGACAGGCGACTGGGGAGGAGCCTGGGCCGGGTGCCTCTCCACTCCCGCTCATCCTGGCCCCGCTGCGCCTGCCACCACTGGGTAGGCTCGCTGCTGCTCCTCTGCAGTTTCTGCGCGCCCATCCTAGGGTGATACTGGTGCACCCATGACTGAGAAGTGGCCACAGGCTCGTGCCCAGTCAGTACCAATGCCGGTCTGGATCCTGGTTCCAGTCCAGATGGGGGACAGGCGCACAGGGGGAGTATCCGTGGGAGAGGCTCACACCACCACAGCTGCACTCGCCAGCCGTGAGCCTGGCATCTGGGCTGCGGTTCCTGCGCGCCCATCCTAGGGTGATACTGGTGCGCCCATGACCGAGAAGTGGCCGCAGGCTCGCGCCCAGTCAGTACCGATGCCAGTCTGGATCCTGGTTCCAGTCCAGATGGGGGACGGGCGCACAGGGGGAGTGTCCCTGGGAGAGGCTCACACCACCACAGCTGCACTCACCAGCCGTGAGCCCAGCATCTGGCGCCTATCGGTCAGCTGAGGAGTGTTCCCGCTGTGGGAACACACTGACCACTAGGGGGAAGCTCCTGCATTGAGCATCTGCCCCCTGGTGGTCAGTGCATGTCATAGCAACTGGTTGAACGGTCGAATGGTCGAACAGTCGCTTAGGCTTTTATATATATAGACTAGAGGCCCAGTGCACGAAATTTGTGCACAAGTAGGGTCCCTAGCGGCTGCCGGCCTCCCTTCCCCGGCTACCGGCTGCCGGCTGCTGGCCAGGGCCTTCCTTTTTTCCTGCCACCCCTTGGTGGTCAGCGCATGTCATAGCGAGCAATAGAACTCCCAGTCAGTCGAATTCCTGAGGGCACACTTGGCATATTAGGCTTTTATATAGATAGCCTGACTGATTGATTGAACAAGAGTGACATTGAGTCAAACATAGACACACCTGGTTTGTTTCTTCTCTTGTAAGAAGAGAAAATAGATTCAATGGAGCATCTGCTCTCTCATACTCCACTCCTTTGTTGTCCATTTAAATTAAAGATTTATTTGCTATTAGGAAAACAGTTTATCAACAAAAATGTGCAGCAATTGAACTTTAAGTTAAATAAGCTGCCTTATTATATGCAGGTAACTGCCAAGGTTTTTGGCATCTTCCTACTTAAAGACATATAAAATAGGATAGGTAATTCTATTTGAAAGTAGGAGGTTAATAACTTTACAAACTACCTTTAAACCAAGAGCTGCCAAAATATATCTATATGCCTATATTCATATATTTATTATCTCAACTCAAGTGGTTGCCAAAATATCAACATACTTATTAAAGAAGTTGATGGGCTTCATCCTATTTTACTGCTGGCTATGTTGGTACTTTTTCTGGGAAAACTGAAATGTGGTGAATTGGTAACAGGGAGGATAATTGACAGAAAAAAGCATTGCTTACTTAATATTTAGCAGAGAAAGTTCAGTGGCTCAACAGTGAGCGTAACTTATATAATTGTGTTTGAGATAAGACAATTCATTGATATAAAATTCCAGGAATTTGGCCTGAAAGAGTACCCACGGTGGAATGCCTGCTGTGCCTTTGGCAGTATTTAAACCCTTCACAAGAATCCCTACTGCCCTGCGGCTGACCTCACACCTTATTGTGTGTCTGTTAAAAACTTCTATCCTGTGCCAACTTCACACCTCACCCGACTGGAATGAAAGGGCCACAGCGCAGTGTATTTGATGCGGTGTCTTTTTGTTTTGTTTTGTTTATAATAGTCTTCACAGGCTGAAATAACAGAATCTATGGAATCCTTAAGCCTCAAAGATAAAAAGGAGTCTGCAAAAAATCTGCCCATCCTGAAGAGTGCTGATGATATGGATTCAAAACTGAAAGGCATAGGCAAACCCAGCAAGTTCTCCAAATTCAGCCTCTACAGGCAGTTGCACAGGCACCACCTGCACGGCTCCGACAGCCTCAGCAGCATCGACAGCGCCTCCAGTAAGTCGCCGTCGTGGCTAGACCTGATGGGGACCACGCTCTGTGCCTCCGTAGCCAGACACTGCACCCCTGTTTTGAGAATCTACCTTTCTATGGTGGGGTAAATGGATCAATGCCGAAAGGTCACTAGATCATCTTATCCGACATCTTGCCGTCGCATGGCCTTGTCGGCCTCATTGTAGAACAGATTTATTGCTTTATTCACACGAGTCGTCATAACAAACACAAGTCATGCTTCTGATGGTAGCAGAATGACTAAGCATGGATAAAATAATGGCCAATTATAAAGGCAAAAAGAAAAGTATTAGGTATACTTTATACGTCTTTTAGAAAAACAATATTTCATTTCTCGTCCCATCCAGAAATACAACAAGCATTTCTCCTCAAACATCAGATTTTCTGCATCTTAGAAATGGGCTGTTCTTTTTAGCCTTGCAATGTCCTGTGGCCCAGGACTTGTGACTGCTTTGATCGCCTTGCCTCGTTTTAAAAATGATCACACCTGCTTTCCAGTCTAGAAAACCTGATATATGTATTTCTTTGTAACAAACAAACAAGCAACCAAAAACACTCTCAACTTTCTCCAGGTTATTGTAATCACTGTAGGAGTCATCAGAATTTAATCCATGGTTTAAAGCCCCACTTGAAACTCTTTCGCTCTTCCAGTGATTCTGAGCAGGGGCTCCCTAGACCTGCCATAGGTAAGTGACGCGTGAAGCAGCAGCACCTTCCCAGGCTTCAGCTTGTGCTGCATGGCCAGTGAGTGTGTTTCTGGATTGTCTTTCTGTCCACACAGCTTGCACACCACATATATGGAGAGCCACGCCTGGGGGGAGTCCACGGGATTCCTACAATTCTAGCACTGCGATGAAACATAACCTAAGAAGGGTACAGCGCGGGGCACCTGCAGCTCAGTGGTGTTTTAGTTCTGTGGAGGGTGGGAGGGCTTCTCTGACGATCCAGAAAGACGTTCTTGAGGAGGGGACGTTGGGGTTAGGTTTGGAAGGAATGTCATTGGGTAGGTGAGGATATGAAGACATTGCAGGTGAAGGAAATGAGGTAATGGGATGGGAAAGTGCCAAGTGCTTCTAAACGTTAGAAAATGCATCGTTCAGTTGATATGACCAGGAAGAGATGCAGCAATCACATCTGAACTCCCTAACATCAATAAAGGAGTCATGCCCTAACCGGGTTGGCTCAGTGGATAGAGCATCGGCCTGCAGACTGAAGTGTCCCAGGTTCAATTCCAGTCAGGGGCATGTACTACCTTGGTTGCGGGCACATCCCCAGTGGGAAGTGTGCAGGAGGCAGCTGATCGATGTTTCTCTCTCATCGGTGTTTCTAACTCTCTATCCCTCTCCCTTCCTCTCTGTAAAAAATCAATAAAATATATCTTTTTAAAAATAAAGGAGTCATGCTCTAAAAGTGAATTTTCAGAAATTGTAATCTGATAACCTGTTGTAAGAAGAACCACACACTTGAGGAATACATGATCAGGCCTAATTTATGACGGTGGGAATGAAGAGGGTTTGGCAATGGATCAGCTAGGGACAAGTTGTCCGATAATATGTAGCAACCACAGTAAAACCTCAGGCTAGTGTTTATGGTATGCAGACTCTCTGAGGTCACTGCTGGGAGCACCTGTGGTGTTATCTCCTTTTTACAGATGAGGTAACCCAGGTCCAGAGGTGATAAGTGACTTGCGCAGTGAAGCTCCAGTTCATCCCTCCCAGCACCCATGGTTGGGATTTGTGATTGAGTAGAAATGCAGATTGCTGCGTCACGACCTTTGGATCTAGTGGCCTGTGGAGATGGCCGAGTTGGAACTCAGCTAACAAAGCTGGATGTGAGTCACTCCTGGTGGCAGAAACTAAAGAACCCAATGAATTAAGCTGGACCTTGAGCAGTGGTGCCCAGCATTCTTTAGTCTGGGGACTTTGCATTTTAAAAACTGATTATATTTAATGAACTAAAGCTCGAATGTCATTGTTAAATAAATTTGTATGTTGTAAATCATAACATTGACAGACATTAAAAAATGGAGAAAACTGTAGATGAGGAGACATTTATTTAGCGTAAAGTTAGTACTTGATACGTATGTGGGCTCCCAGTGATTCCTGGGCTTGACGGAGCTTCAAAGCCCTGAGACAGGGGCCGGGAGACCCCTGGGAAGTCCAAAGAGCCAGGTGATGGGTGAATGCAGGGTCAGACATTAAAGGTAAAGAGGTGGAAACAGGCCCAGGTAGTGCTTTGTGATTCCACTTGTGACTTTGCTGCTTTAAGACTGAAGTTAGAAATGAGAGAGAGGAACGAGGTTGCCGAGCCATGACGTTGGGGGCTCTGAGTCATGACTGAGTGTCTGTGTCGCTGGCAGTAGGATGGGGAGTGGGAAAGCAGATGCAGGCAGGAGCTGAGAAACTCTGGCTAGTGTCAGGCTGAGCAAGCCGATACCCATGGAGGTGACCTGAGGACACCCATGGGTGGTTTCCAGGTGCTCATGGGAGCCTCCTCCCTAATAAACTGGATACATGTCCAGTGCAGCATTGTTTTATTGAGAGAGAGAGAGAGAGAGAGAGAGAGAGAAAGAGAGAAAGTAAACAACCTAAATATCCAAGACATTAAAAATGGAGGAAACTGAAGATGAGGAGACATTTTACTTATTTATCATAAAGCATGTACTTGATGTATATGCAGGCTCAGGATGACGCCCACATATGCATCAGAATCAGAAGAACATACTGAGTGTTTCATCCCCTTGAGGGATTGTGCTCTTCTGTAAACTGTCAGTGGGGATGTAAAAATAAATGTATAGAATTAATTTGTTTCATTAAATAAGTACTTACTAAGCTCCTAGTATATGCCAATCACTGTTCCAAGTATTAGGGATCTGCAGTGAACAAAACAGATGAAATTCAATTAACTAGTTGGATGTTAAGGACGGGAATTCTATCTAATAAAGAGGGACTATGCTGATTGACCCTCATGCCATCACAAAGATGGCGGCGCCCACAGCCAATAAGGAGGGAATATGCTAATTGACTGCCCTGCCCTCAAAGATCGCATTGCCCACAGCCACAAGATGGCTGGCAGGGGAGGAGGGCAGTTGTGGGCTATTAGGGGAGGGGAGGGCAGTTAGGGGTGACCAGGCCTGCAGGGGAGGGCAGTTAGGGGTGACCAGGCCGACAGGGAGGGCAGTTAGCAGTGATCGGGCCTGCAGGGGAGGGCAATTAGGGGTGACCGGGCCTGCGAAGGAGGGCAGTTAGGGGCGATTGGGCCTGCAGGGGAGCAGTTAGGCATCAATCAGGCTGGCAGGGGAGTGGTTAGGGGGCTGATCAGGCTGGCAGGCAGGTGAGCAGTTGGGAGTCAGCAGTCCCGGATTGTAGGATTGTAAGAGGGATGTCTGACTGCCGGCAGTCAGACATCCCCCGAGGGGTCCCAGATTGGAGAGGGTGCAGGCTGGGCTGAGGGACACTCCCCCACCCCAGTGCATGAATTTCATGCACCAGGTATCAAACACAACATATCAGGTGGTGAGAATTATCATGGAGAACAGGGGAAGGGGGACAGACAGAGGGGAGGAATTACTATTTTATATCAAGTGGTCAGAAAATTCTTCTCTAATGAGGTGAGTTTTTAAAAGAGATCAAAAGGAAGAGAAGAATGAGGCTAAGAGAAGATCTGGGTGGAAGGGGTCCCAGCCAGAGGAATAGCAAGTGTGAGGGCAGAGAGGCAGGAGGGGATCAGTGTTTCCAGGACTGGGCTGGGGGACCAGGAAGGGGGCAAAGTCTGAGAGGGCTGGGTCAATTACATAAGGTCTTTCAGCCCTTGTAAGGGTCTTGGCTTTCTCTTTGAGTGAGATAGAAAGTCATCGGAAGGTCCTGAGCGGAGGAGGAACAAGGTCTGACTTAGATTTTTACAGGCACATTCTTCACAGCAGACCTGGGTGGCAAGTAGTGATACATCTTGAGGTGGCGCTCATGGCATTTGCTGATGCCCTGCATGTGGGATGTGAGAGATGGAGAGGACTATTTCCATGAATTACATTAAATTGCAGCTTTAATTTTTTAATATGAAAAAAAAATAAATTTATGTAAAAAAGGAAGCTCCTTCTGGAGCAGTGCTTTTCAAAGCCTGTTCCTTGGGCCCTGGTGTTTCTCAGGGGTCCTGCAGAGGATACTGAGCAGATGGTCCCCAGACATCCCACTTCTGTTGATATTTGATTCAACCAGAACCATCCTGCTTATACTTATTTATGTTTTGGAGTTCTGTGTGAATTTGCATTGAAAAAAAAGTAAGTTTCAACTATTAGTAATAAAGGAAGTTTAAAGAACATAGCTCTGTATTTAAATCACATAATGACTTAAACCTATATTGTTTTATAGGACTTGAAACATAAATCAAGCATAGAGTAACTCTTTATTAGAAACTAGAGGCC